TACAATTATAATTCTATGATTCTTTAATCGCTGACCACGGGTTCATACTAATTTTACCGAAAGAAAAAACAATTTTCACATGTTATGCGGAGTGTGCTGGCTGGTCATGGCGGTTTATTAAATTAATGTGCTTTCACGTTTCCTGTGCAATTTCGTGAAGAGCAAACATCGATTCTATGCAAACACTGAACGAACTTTTTTGATACAGCATCATGCCAATCTTAACCAACCATTTACACATCATTTCATAACCATGGTAAATATTTGATTTTACTGTGATAAAACACAATTGAACGTACGTTGTTATATTATAAGCAAACGTTACAAGCCTTTGTATTACCTCTCGCATAAGCCCTTTTTGCTACTAGCAAACGATACATTTTACCACTCGCATATGCCGTTTTTACCACTAGCATATGGCATATTTTGCTACTTGCGACTCGCAACTTGGTACTCGCATACGGCACTATTTCTAGGTCGTACATACCTCTTAGATTACATTAAAACATTACTGTAATATTTTATAGCAAGCGCTATGTGGAATTGTACCTAACACTGTATGGTGTCGGTAGTGCTGTAATAGGGCAATCAGTGATTCTTGTTTTCAAATCAATGTCACTCAATGTATCTGAGATACAATGTGAGGAATGATAAGTGACTAATCAGTGTGCAGACATGAGCCAGCATTGACATTGACTTTTGGATGGCTATACATATGAGATTTTATTTTTACCATTTCCAATCCCTCAGTATGGGTTTTCTTCTTTACGTTAATTTAATTGAGGTTATTGAACCAGTATAAACAAACACTTCAGTCTTCAGTAATAGTACGGCATGTCTGGATCAGTAGGGTGATGCAAGTGTTCATTGACAATAGACAATCGTCTTCAAATTTGTGTAACATTACTGGGACTATGTTATTTAAAATGAGTTTGTGTGACAACAATGGTATGGTATTAAAATTATGATTTCATTGTGAACTTTTCTATGATAGCTTCATCTCCACAAAGTTAACCAAAAAGTGCATTGTTATCTTTCTAGGTGTACGTGATCAGCTATCTGATCTGAGTATGACTGACATTGAAGGATCCATGTCAGACAATCAAGGTGCAGCCGACAATGACGATGAACTTGAAGGTGATCAAGCACCAACCCCAACACCAGGTAGTTCATTCACCGCTTCATTTACATCAGCCGATTCTCTCAGATCACCACATCAGCAACCAGTCTTGCTTCCACCAGGAGCATTCACCAGTACTACACCGAAACAATCTCCATCGCAGTCTCTGCGAGATAGCCATTCTACAACTAGTAGCCTGACAGCCGTGTCCGGTATTAATAATTCTGCTGATCTCCTGTCACCGTGTGACTCCCAAGCTTTGTCTGATAGCACAATAACCTTAACACCAACCACCCACAGATTTACACCTGAATCTAACAGAGTTCTAACCCCAACACAAATGCCACTCCCACCTATCACCCCAGGGGAGCAGGAAATTGACTTAGCAGAGCTTGAAAAATCTGCTTTGGAAATTGAACTTGGGGAACCACCACTTGCAACATCAGAAACTGTTAAACCACAAACTTTGCAAAAAGTGGATTCCAGTTCAAGCATTGAGATTGTCAGCAATGGGGCTGAACTAGAAGATGCTTCTCCAGACATTGAAATAGTCCCTGAACCTGGGCAGGATGATCCAAGTGTTGAGCCACTGTTGGACATCTCTAGCGGTAGTTCCCAAAATGTCCTGCCAATTGAGGAGTCTTTAAAAGTCGGTGAGGAGGAGGAGGGTATGCCAGAGAATAAAATGCGACACAGTGAAGAGGAAGCCCCAGATAAAGTACCACCATCAAGGTAGGTGCTGTGTAAATCAATACACCATCATTGTTACCATACTTATAGCCAAGGGTGCTCAGCTCACAAAATCATATTTTTAAGGTGCTTGGTCGAGCATCCCACTCGAAAAATCTGCCAAAACAAAAGTTTTTGTTCACCATGTACCAGATAAGGAAGGATAGTAAGGATGCTGTACACCTTTTTTTGTTTTGAAACCCAAAATTCTACTTTTTTGTATTTTTCAATGCTGGACTACAAGGAGCAAACACTCAGTAGGAAAAAAAGTGAATTGAATGTTTTTATAGGGTGTAAAAATAAATTTTTGTTAATTAAAAACAAAAGCACATGTCATTGTTTTGAAAGCTATGTTTTAATTAATCAGCCAAGACATAATAGACAGATAATTTGCATAATAGTCACCACCCATAGCAAATATAAACAGTCTCTTGCATTCAGTACAAGCTCAGACTAGTAATACCATAGACCTTAGAAAACAAGGTCTATGGTAATACGAGTACATTTTTGTATGTACAAGTACATTTTTAGTAGTCCAAGGTACAAGTTACACGCACTCCATTTACGATCGTCCACAAATTTAATTTCGTTGAATTTCTTGCTCTTCAAGCAGTCAACTATGAAACCGTCTTGGGGTCGACTATGACAGTGACGAAAGAAAACGAATGCAAGGAAATTTTGAGAAGAACGTCGACAGTATGTAAAGCGATTATTATGAAAATTTAATCATGGAAGGTACCTTCCACGATTTATTCGATCAGACCATGGAGGTATTAAACAGAAGGTAGAAAATTTGAGCACATGGCAGACTTAGTTTTCGTGACCAAATTACGTGTCATAGACTCCGACCACAATGAGTTGGAAGTGAAACACTTGGGCCCTGACTTGGCTACACCATGGCTACACGTAAAGCCCGAGACAAGCAGCTGTAAAAGCGTGTGTGTGAGCATCCTTGTTTTACCTGTTTTATTTTTCTTTATCTTCACATTCTCAATAAATAATTTGACGGATCCAATGAAGTTAGATTTGTTATATACATGTATACTGAATGTAAGATACCGGCAGTAGTCCCTGCCAGCAGTTGTTCCGGTACTATGTATTACGCATTGAAGATGGAAAAAGAATCAT